GGGGGTGGCGCGCGAGCTTTCGAGCTTATACCGCAAAAATTACGTCGCGGTAGGGATTGTATTTATGTTACATAATTACGCCACGCTCGACCGGTCGGATAGAGGCCGCGGCCAGAAGGGGGAGGGGGTGGCTGCGGCGCGGCGCGGCACGACGGTGAGCGAGCCGAGGGGGTGGAAAAAAGCGGCTGGCCGAGGAAAAGTTTTTCGGCGGCCGGCCGCGCTCCGAGCGAGCGAGCGAGCGAGCGAGCGAGCGGCCAACGCCATCCGGCTAATGAATAGAAATAATTCTCGCGCAATCGTGCTTTTCGGTAGTTTTCAATTAACACGCAGTCGCCCCTGCCCCGAGTCGAATCGAACCGAGCCGAGCCGTCTCTAGAAGCGTTCGCGCGCGCATAGGACGCGCCGAATAACGCGCGACACGGCGCGGTTTTAAGTTTTTATGCCGCGAGAGAGAGAGAGAGAGAGAGAGAGAGAGGGGGGAGCCTCAGCGCTCGTAATTATAATTTTCCGCCGGGCAATGGATGCGCGCAGGCCGCTTTCGCCTTTTTTTCCTCTCTTACCGCGATTTCGCCCGAATCCTTTGTCCTCTTTTTCTCTCCAGTGGGCTACAGCCCGGCCTGGAAATATGCACCCTGATTTCTGAATACGCGTGCGATTCTCCCGCGCGATGAATCGGCGGCTCTTTATCCGGCCGCGGACTCATGAGCACATTACGTCCGCCGTAATACCTCCTCGTTCGCGTTTCGAAAATTGCATTACGCTGCGTGAACAATAGATCGCCCGGTCGCGAACGAGGTATGTCTCGCGAGATCGCGTATTCCCCGGCAAGACTTACTCCGCGCTCGGCTTCGATCGTGTGGTGCGACGCGAGCGGAGCCGCCTCGCGTCGGGTTTCTCTCTCCGTCTGTCCGCGCGTCTGAACGCGCGGAATCCCGCGAGACAAATCGCGGCCGCTCTCGACCGCTGATCCCCGCTGATATTTGTCCCTCATCGGGCCATTTTGCAAGATTCCCTATCTGCCGGATAGTCTCTAGGCAAGAAAAGCGAATTCGGACGGGCCCGTAGACGCGCTTGGACACGCACTCACGTCGTCCACGGGGCTTGACAAGGGGATGGCCCTCGTGATTCCCTCGGCTTGTTGGCCGGGACGTGCGGAAGGGTGTAAGGCGGCAGGCAGGGGGTACGCGGGGACGGGGCTCTCTCCCGTGGGATAAAACGGGCTATCGGATGTGAAAGCCGCTGCGTGGAAATGTAAAAGCAGCCTGACAAATCGTTTTCTATTACCGGCCAGCGGCTGGGTCGCCTCTTTATATATCGGCGGTATTACCGTCACGAGCTGTGCTACACGCGGCCGGTATTCACTCGATGTCTTCCTCAAGATACCTCCTCATGAAAGATTCCGTGGATCTTCCCGTTTGGCGTCGCTCATTTCGATCATCTCGTCGCGACGCGCTTGTATTCGCGCTCTGTAACGTCGTCGTTCCCGGGGATTTCTTAACGTTCGCGCTCACGTATCGCTCACGTTGCACGTGCGTAACGACGTGAAATTCGCTTTTGATTTGCAATTAAGTGCGCTCGTTACTTTTATTGCGGCTAATAGAACGATTGACCACACGGAATTCCCAGCGCATCTCTCCGCCCTCCGACACGATATAATCGGCGCGTAATCATCCCATTGTTTGCCGAGAAATTAAATGGACAGTGCGCCGGAGCGTTGCCGGAGTGCCGGAGCGCGAGCGAATGTCACACACACACACACACACACACACACACACACACACACACACACAGCATCCGATAATGCTATTTATTATTGCTGCTCGCGTTTTTGTTCAAGCAGACGTTGATCGCGGACAGCCGGACTTTGTCTGTGCCTCGATCGCTCGAATTGCGCTCCCGCGCGATCGATCTCATTCGCCACTATCGCGATCAATTTTATTATCGCATCTGCTGCAACGGCAGGCTCGTGACGACTTTCAACTCTCCGTCGTGAAACTTTTATCTCCCCGCTTCTCTGGCCGATCGCCTTCGCTCGCGCGTATTTCCTCGACGGCGATCCCGCTGCTGCGACGGGAGCGCTCTTTCCGTGAAATTGATACTGACGCGATATATCCCGTCGAATTATGCGAACGAGCTCTCTCACGCGCGCGAGCTTCGCGACGCGTATTGCAAAATAAATGACCAGTATTTCTCTGTAGTCCGAGGCCCTCGGGACCTCCTCGGAATTTGCGCGTGAGAAAATACGCGCGCAAATTAGACGCGATAATACGTACCGCGATCGCGTTGGGATAAATAATACGCGTATACAAGGAAGTCGATCACAGACGGTGAGAGAGCGGCCATGCCGAGAATGGCTGTAATACCACCACGGCGACTCGCCTCTCTTCACGATTGTATAAAATATTTATTTATAATTAGTACAAAGGCAAGGGAGAGGAGGAAGAGAGAGAGAGAGTGAAAAAAAGAGAGAGTGAGAAAAAGAGAGATAGAGAGAAAAAGAGAGAGAGAGTGAGAGAGAGTGAGAGAGAGTGAGAGAGAGTGAGAGAGAGAGAGAGAGAGAGAGAGAGAGAGAGAGAGGGTGAACGCGCGAATTATTTTCAGCTGCGCGACCGCGCGCGCGCTACAAAAGTGAATAAATAACGTAAAAATGTTAATTGTCGTCAGCACTGGGCATCACTGCGAGAACACAAAGGACAAAGGTATAATGATATATCGGTGGTATATATTATTATCAGTTTCAGGGAAACGTAAATTTCCCGGAGGCGGGAGAGCTCCCAGCCGCGCTCTCTGCCACGCTTTGAAAAATAAATTCGAACGAAAGAAATATCAATTAACACGCTCAATAACGCAAGCAATATCCCGAGCGTTCATCCGAAACCACCCTCTACGCGGTTAGTACGCGGCCAGGCAGCCAGCCAGCCAGCCAGCCAGCCAGCCAGCCAGCCAGCCAGGCAGGCAGGCAGGCAGGCAGGCAGGCAGGCAAGCAGGAACGCGCCGCGTTGGTGTACGAGAGGATAAAGCAACCCCTTCGTGCCCTCCTCCCCCGCGTCCGTATTCGGTCGGCAGCAAATAATTAGTATCTTAGTAATATCGGGAATGCGCGCGCGTTTAACGTTAGCGTGGCCAGCGCGTCGGCTTCTTAATTAATTGCGACGGAATGATTTCGCGCTGCGCGCTCGATTCAAGTGTTTATCACGTTTATCGTTTCGCGTTTATTGCATACGCGCGCGGGCCATCGCATCGGGGAAGCACCGTCGCGCGATTATTCAAACGTCACGCCCGCCGAGATATTTTCGCAATCCCCGTCGCGCCGCCGCACCGCCACATGCGTTAATTGATGCCCCGCTGCTGTTAATTGATGTTTATTACGGGGGGGACTTTCGCGTCGCGCGTGTCTCCCGCGAGAATTTTTCCTCCCGCTCGTTATTCCCGCCCTCGGATTACGCCGCGCTCGCGGCGCGACGGGCTCGATGGTGTCGAAGAAACGAGTCGGCGACTATTAATTGGCGGGAACATCTTTTGTGCGTCGCGCGCGCGCGCGCGAGTCGGCGCGCGTCTGCTTTCCCTGGAACAATCAGACATTCCCGTCTATTCAGATCCGCGGCGAGCCAAGCTGGGGAAAAAAGCGCGGCGCGGCGCGGCCTTCCTCTCGTAACGGGCTAACTTCCGCCCGGCGCGGCGGAAAACCGCGCGCGTTACACCGCCGATAACGCGGGCCGTTGCAATTTCAGTTTCGCTTTAATTAGCGCGCAATACTAATGTACAGCGCGAGCAAGCGGCCAATGAACGCCGCGACCCGCAGCGGCGGACTGCGGATGGCACATCGGCTGCTCGCACACCTCGGACTGACCGGCGCGCCTCCGCAAACAGCTGGAAAGCGACGCGTGTCTGTCTCGCACCCTCGAGACCGAAGCGGAGTGAGGAGAAAATCTCGGGTCTCAGTCCCGTTGTATAAACTCAGTCCGTCGGGATGAACGAGCCGCGGTTGCAAGCGACGTCGTTAAGATGCATCGTCGATTGCGCGCGCGCGCGCGCGCGTGAAATAAGTAAAAATAAAATAAACAAAATGTGTCGGTGACGCTCCCCGATGTGAGATTCCGAGCCCTCCCCTGCGATTTGTCGCATGGGAAGTTGCGTGGTCGCGATTCGACGCGAAAGCGATAATTCTAAAGGTCTTGACGGGAAAAGGATCCTTGGGAAAACGACGGCGTAAAATACGCACGGCGCAGATAGGGAGAGGGTTGAAAGGAACACGTGGGATCGAGGGCGAGTCTGGTTCCCCTTCGCTTTAGGGGACAAACGAGACATCGATAATCGTGTTTGTTGTACGACTGTCGATACGAAACTTCAGGAATGCCGCTCAGGCAAGAAGCAAGGGAGGTTTACGACTTAAGAAGTATTATGTCAGCCGAATATTCGCGCGGCGTCCTCTCCGTGTCCTTCCCCTCCCTCGCCCAGCTGCTCCGCCGAAATCGCGGTTCCTTATATGCATCGGGGGTTCCACGACGCCAAAATTTTGACAATGCTCGTCGTCAACAGCCATAACGTTTTAGGGTCGCCGCGTAGGAGGGTGATCTCTCCGATCTCGCGAATTTACGAAGGCCGGAAGAACTCTCGGCGCATCGCGTCGCGTCGCGTCGCGTCGCGTCGCGCTGCGCCGACCGCGAAACTTTTAGTATTTGTTATTTAAACATTCAGGAGTCGCGACGCTCCTCCGATCGAAGACTCACCGCAGAGGCGACGCTTTCCCGTCGCCGGCTAGCCAAATCGATGCTACTCGGCTAATCGGTCCGCTTAAATTTGTCTGGGAGAAAGATGCGTTTCTGGCACAAATCGCGGGTCCCCCCTGCCCCTGTCGATCAAGTGTAAGAATATCTTTCGACGTAATTCACTTTCTGGAACTCTTTTGCGACAGCTTCTCGCGATTTGTTCGGATAATTGCCGCGCGACCTCTTAGATTTAAACGGCACGACAAAACTACTAAAAGTACTTTAACTCACATCAACAAGCCACGTCACTGTGTCTCAGAAGCCAGGGAAGTATACACCACTGACCTGAAACAAAATCGGACATTTCGATTGATCACAGCCCGCACAATCGGAGATGCTCGGCGATAGTTCAGAAATACGAGCGACGTCGTTAGGACGGACGTCGTTAGAGAAAACTATAAAGAAAGCACAAAGTATCGCGCGCGTCTACCTCCTCGAGCTCTCACGCGAATAAGAAATGAACGCGCGTGCGTGTGTACGTGGAGAGGATAAAAGGGGAAAGTATGTACACACATTTATATGTATATACATATACATATATATACATATATATATATATATATATATCGAGGCGAAGCGACCAGCCGCGCGCGTCTCTCCCTCGCGATGCTCGCAACGACGCGCGCGACAAACCGCACCGGCGCGCAATATTCATTCCGTCAGTCAAGAACAATACCCTCGCGCGCGTCTGAGACCCGTATCGCTCCCATTCGATGCCATTGCAACGCGAATGTCCTTCGACTCGACTCTGCTGGTGTTAATTAACGAATTCGAAAAGTACCGCGGCCGAGAGTCCCGCTCTCGTCTCGGATCGACTCGGCTGCTGTGTGCGCGCGGGTCCACCGCGTGCGTCGGCCTGGGGTGGCGACGAGCAGAGAGAGAGAGAGAGAGACAGAGAGAGGGGGGGGGAGGGGGAGGGAGGAAGAGAGAGAGCGCGTGTAGGACGGAAGCGCGCACGTATAAAGGGTCGGTGTCTGGCCAGACGGGCAGAAATGAAGCAGCAAGGGTTTTGTTTGTCCGGCTGTCCACCCCTTTCCTTTCTCCGTTCGAACCCTTCCCGCTCTCGCCAGCCCCGCTGGCCGTGGCTCCGCTCTGCGAGCCCCGTGGCACCCTTCAGCCCCTTCTTCATCACCTCCTCCCCCAGGCCCCTCGGCACAGCTACCTACCTCGGCACAACTCCACCACCCCTCCTTACACCGTCGTCCATCTCTCCCCGCGCGCTCGCCGCCTCCTCCACCTCTTCCTCGCCCGCCCCAGCCCCGCGCGCTGGCCCCGACGCTGGCCGCGCTCGCGCGGCCATGTAACAATGCACGTGTGTACACTGTTTGCCCACATCCTCCCGCATATATCTTCGCGAGCTATAATATTGATTACTTCGGGCGAATTTCAGGCCGAGCGGCGCGAGCTGAGACCGTTTCTCCGACTCGAACCGTCACGCCGCGCCTCACCGCGCGCGCTGCGCCGCATCGTGCCGACAACCCCTACGCGAGCGAGCCACCCCCGTCGCGTCGCGCGTGCGGCCAGCCTTCAGTCAATCTCTCGTTGTCGACGCCGCGCCGTGCCGACCACCCTCCTCCTCCTCCTCCTCCTCCTCCTCCTCCTCCTCCTCCTCCTTCTCCACCATTCGACGTCGCAATGCAGACTTTTCGCTTTTGCGTTCGGCGATTCGTCCTCGACCTCAGTTTGTCACTGTGCCTTGCGACACACGGCGGCGCCGTACAATGTCGCGACGCGCGAGGGACAGTCGGAAGTTCGAGGCACGAGAGCGCGTTTAAACGCTCCGGCGGAGAGGTCCAAGTCGTAAAAAGAGCTCGGGCGAGCCGAAATTTAAGAAGGTCCTTCGGGATCACGCGCCGGGCTATTATTGTTTCCCGTTGGCCTGTTTCGCGCGGTATCGTCGGTATTCTCACGGTGTCTCCCGCGACGATTTTACGACCTTATCCGACGCGAACTCGATTCTCGAAGGTCGTTTCAATCCGCCGCGAACGCTTTCGCTCGAGTTCGCCGCGCGATGTAGATATATATATATATATATATATATATATATGTACATTTTTTCTTTTGACTTTTTATAATCGAGATGTAAGAGAGAAGTCACGTGTGTATGTACGCCGACGAGTCGTGATTTCGGCGCAGCGCGAAAGCGTAATACCGAAATGACAGTGTCGCAACTGTAGCGTAAAGATTACAACATCTTCACCATGCGGAACGCGCGCGCGCGAAATCTTGCCGCCGTGATGTATAAAGTGAAAAACCGTGGTAAAAAGTCACATATAATTAAAGGACATAATTAGTTTCTCTCTCGATATTTTCCCTCCTATCACACAAACCCCTTGAGCGGCCAATAAAAAGCCGCCGGTCTCCTACCCTCGGTACGAGCGACCTTTCAAATGCAACGCGTATTAAAAGCGCGAGCGGTGCGCATGAAAAAGTATAAACGAAAAGCGCAACAATACCAAAAAAGCGTTATAACTATTGCGCGTAATGTTGGACTGAAAGAGCCGTCGTTCCGTTCCGGCAAACGCCGCGCGACTTAAATTGCGTCACGGTCCTTCCAGCTATCCCGCGAACGTTTAATTCCATTCGCGAACCTCCCCCTTTCCACTTGCGCCCCGGCGGCGGCGGCGGCGGCGACCTTTCCCGCCCCTCGACTCGTATCAGCACCAAGTCCGTATGTCGCGAATCGAAGTACAAAGAAGCAATAGTAGAAATAAGATAATTGCTATTACAATCGCAATTTCATCCAGGACGACGGAACCTTGGTGGCAAAGGGGCGCGGTGGAGAGTGGGAGCGAAACGCGTGACGAGGAAAGGGGAGAGAGGGGGATGTAGGAGAAGAGGAGGAGGAGGAGGAGGAGGAGGAGGAGGAGGAGGAGGAGGAGGAGGAGGAGGAGGAGGAGGAGGAGGTGGAGGAGGAGGAGGTGGAGGAGGAGAAGCAGCAGGAGGAGAAAGAGGAAAGGGGGACAGAGAAGGACGACTGCCGCAGAGAACTGAACTACAAAGTACGTTAATGTCGTGCTCACACCCCCGTGCACCCCCAGCGCCATTCCGATGCCGCAGACAGTTTGTTGTCGAAGCTTCGGGGATTACACAAATGAGGTTGTTCAGCGGGAGAAATGTACATTCCGCTACAAAGCCGGCCGCGCGCGCGGCCGTGTGCCACGCACGGAATTAAAAACCGGGGTGGAAGAGCGAAGGTGAAAAGTGCCGCTCTCTGTCCGCGATTCTCGTCCCGGCCCTCCCCCACCCCTCGCCCTCTCGCCCCCGCGGACAATATTTTCTTTGCTGAAAGCCGGCGCGCCGTAGAATGGATTTTCATCGGGGCGGCGTTTGAGCCCTTCAAGAACGGAATTCGTTTTTATCGGAATACGCGCTCTCTCTCTCTCTCTCTCTCTCTCTCTGTCTCTCTCTCTCTCTCCCTCCCTACCTCTCCTTCTCTCTCTCTATTTCTCTCTCGCATCGGAATATCACCGCATGTGAGAACCGATGTAGTTTTTAAAAATAGCATCCTTCGACCTCTCGATCGTCGCCGTCGACGGCTTGCTGGACATATTGCGAGGTGCGCGCGTCAACGCGCGCGCGTCGCTAAATCTACGACACCCCTCTTCCCATCCCCGTGCACCCCCGCCTGCCGCCGCGAACGCGTACGCTCCAGCAAATCGGTCGCGTCGCGTCGCGTCACGTCGCTTTTAAATTAATGCCTCGCGGGGGGAGAAGCGTTCACTGTGCGAGCCGCGGCTGCGAATATCATTACGCTGACATCTTATTGACTCGTAATAGTGCAAAGCTGTGTTGCAAATGCGCTTCGTTAAGCGCGATTTTTCTCATCTCGCTCGTCGCACGTTCACCCGCGCTCTCCGCCGGCAGGTTTCCCCGGCGGTGCAAAGAGTTACGCGGACGTACGTCCGCGGATTACGTAGGTCGGCGGGAAAAGGAGGAAACCGGGAAGAGTGTTTTCCTCCCCGACCGTCGGGGAGACCTCGGAGAAACTCCGCGTCTCGCGCTTCGCTCCGGGCGACCGCAGCGATCACGCCCGCTGCCGTGAGCGCGATAGTGACGTCGGGCGGAAACTAGTTAGGTCGGAGACTGCTGTAGTAGTCCGAGAAGGCTGCAAGGGAGGGGGGTGGGTGGAAAAGCGGCCCTTGTGCCGACGCACCGTGGGGACCGGGGATAGTAATTGTATACGTACTGGGAGAATGGCAAGGTAAACAAAACTATGTAAGATTGCCCCATTAATATACATATCTCTTGGTTCAGTCGTGCCGCGAGAGAGCCAACCGCCCTTCAGCCGTCGCTGGCAGGGGTGGGTAGTCTTGGCCTCAGACTTTGGGGTTAGGCTCGCTCGAGAGCGAGGAGGGTACACAATGGATATTGAGACCATAATTTACGGCTGATTGTTAGCCCCGCGATCTATGGATTCCTGTGTCTCGCGCGCGCGCGCGCCTCCGGCCTGCTCGAGCACCTCCCAACGACTCCCGCTCCCACGTCGAATTTGTGTTAGGCCCGTAATAAGTACGGGCTACGTGCGCGCCGAGCGGAAGCGGAGGCGTCGGAGGAATGCTCCTGCGGTCGCGATCGCTATGAGATATGAGAGATGCCGCGGCGCGCCGATCGCGATTGTGAATCGAGCTCGCCGCTGATAAACGAATCACGCGACTATACGTTACCGCGAACACACGAGAGACAGCGAGAGAGAGAGAGAGAGAGAGAGAGAGGGGGAGGGGGAGAGGGGAATGTTTTTTTCGTGTGGCTTTAAAATGTGACAGGAGTCTCGTCTATCGAATTATTATTCGTTAACGGAACTCGTAATTGGCCGGATGATTCGCGGCGGAGCATTGGCGCGAGGTCAGTTACCCTCTCTCTCTCTCTCTCTCTCTGCTTACTCGTGCGATATCGCAAGAAGAACGGCGGTTATAAATTAATTACGAGGGTCAGATTCGCAAGTGGATCCACGTTCCACGGACTGGATCGCTGGGGCGGATGTCTTACTAGCAGTTTCATCGGTGGCTCAAGGGAGCGTGGCACGAGGAGGAGACGATGTTTGGTCTTCCTTGCAAGGGGCCGACCAGCCAACCGACCAACCTGCCTGCCACTTACCGAAGGATAATAACGTAGTAATCCTGCCATGAGACACGGATGAAGTCCTTAATAACCCTATAAACCCGAGATATATCTTGCGTATCAATATAGAGCGGGGCGAGCGTGCCGCGCGCAGCGTACCGCTGTACACACGTCCGCGTCATCGCATCTCTCGGCCTAATTAAACAAACGATTCGCATCAAATA